GGCAGCCTTTTCCTATACAGGGAGGAAAACCACCACACGGGCCCTCCCACGCTGCAGGAGCAAACAGCCCGGCCCGGCTCTCCTTTTCCACTGCTCCCTGCTCCTCGGGAGGGGGGAGGCTGCCTCTCACTTGACCCCTGGGCACTCCCCGGTGAGAACAGAGCATTGCTGAGGCAGGGCAGCAGCACTCAGAGTCCTCTGCAGGGCCTTGGGAAACTCCCTCTCCTTCAAGCTACTGAAATCCAGGAATAATAATTAACCAAGCTAAGTGTTGCACCGTAATTGTAGCTGTGTGCCCTTCAAGGTGTGCATACATGTTAAAGATATTTGTGTTTTAAGGCTCTTTCTTGAACCATACATTTGCTCACATTGTGCTTTCAGCTGGAGAGATGAAAATCTTACCTTGAAAGATGCACAGGAAAATTAATCTGAACTAGCTAAAGCTGTGAATGGGGAAAAGAATTTAAATTGAAGGGGTGCAGGCTTTTCCCTTCAGAGCAAGGAAGCCCCTGGGGCTGGTGGAGGACAGGTAAGAGGCTGCACTCTGCTGCAGCTGGAGAGGCAATGGAGCCTGGTGCTGTGGTCCATGGCTGCTGTAACAGGGCAGAACTGCAGAAAGGAGTGAGCGGGGAAAATCCCAGCTCTCTTCTGACAGGACTGGAAAGTCCTGTTTGGAAAATTGGATGAGGAGGCAGTCCTGGGAAAATCTGAGCACTGGATCATGGCAAGGACAGACAGACCTCCAGGGTATTAGGGGGAGTTTCTGTTCCGATCTCTCTGGACTTAAACTTCTTGGATTATGACCCAATAAACATGCCAGCATTTAAAGGAAACCTTTTGTTCCTGTTAATGCTTCAGAGAAGGGACAAGGAGGGGAGAGATGCCAGAGCTGTGACAGACAGCTGCTGGAGAAGGGGAGAGGCTGTGCAGCAGCTGTCCAGGTTGGCATGAGGGGACAGGGCTTTCCTGTTCCCCCATCCCTTGGGACACTGTGCAGTTCTCACTCCTGAGCAAAGCGCTGGTGCTGGGAGCACAGCAATGCTGGAAAAAGCCCTTCCTCCACCCCCCTGAAATGAGGCTAGCCATTTGTCCAGGGAGAGATTCTTCCCTGCCACCCCTGCACTCTGTTTTGCAATTCTTACTTCTAGGAACAACCAGATGCCTAATTATTTTCAAAGCTCAGCTTCCACAGAGAAACGATATGTGCCTGGCCCAGAGTCCACCATCACTGAAGATTTCCCATTAAAACAAATCACAAATTATGTCCTCCCCCTGGAGATTACAGTGTCTCAGTGTCTTTCCTTGGTTGTTTGGTTTTTTTTTTTGTTTTTTTTTTTTTTGTTTTTTTTTTTTTTTTTTGTTTTTGTTTTTTTTTTGTTTTTTTTTGTGGTTTCACCTTTTCCTTTATTCACTTAACCATCTTGCTCATCCAAATCTGAACTGAAGCTGTGGGGCAAGGCCAGCAGCAGTGAGGCTGACACTCTTTGGGACAGGTTAAAAGTCCTGGTGGCCTCACTGCCTCCTGGTGCATCAAGTCCTTGCCAGGAAGGCAGGTAGATGTGTCCACCAGCTGCATGCAGGACACATTGTTGGTAAACACTGCTGGCCCTGCTTCAACCTGTAGTTCTCAGTCTGTAAAATGCTTAGCAGCCAATAGGGACCCCTTCCTAATGTCAAAAAAGGCTGAAGGAGGGGAAGACAGTGAGGCTAAGGCCTCTTTCTGTTTGGGGAGCAGAGACACACACATCTGCATGCCAGCCAGCTCACACAGCCCAAGCTGTGTGCAAGGAGTGTGCTGCACCAAAATGTGAGAGTGGCAGAGCAGGCAGCCGGAGGGGTGGTGAAAGGGGTCTGCTCATGATGCAGATGTCAGGCTGGTGCTGCAGCCAGTGGGAGCACAAAGCCTCCCTGTGCGTGTCTCTAGGTGCAAGGCTGCCTTTTGCCCTTGCCTTTTATGCTTTCCAAACCTGCAGGGAATGGAAGAAAATGGCTCTAAAGTACTGGGGGAAAAATCAGGCCTTGGGCTCTCCTGTCCAACATCGCCACCCTGACAGTCTGTACTTTATTTGTCACCACTGTAAGGCTCTCGAGAAGTCCAGGGCTGATGCTGAGAAAGCTGAAAGGCACTGAAGGAGGCATCTTGTTTGTTGTTTGAGTGAGAAAGGCCTACAGTGAGCAGGAATGCAAGGAGGAAGAGGAGGGTGTGGGAGGAAATGAGGAGTTTTGTTCTTTGTGGGGAATTTAAGGAAGTACGTCCCTGTGGGATTATCAAAGAGATTTACAAGAATGGGCAGCAGGGAAAGGCTGGAAACAAAAATGTCATGCTGTGTAATGCAATGACAGGTGAATGAGCTGGTGTTGCAGGCAAAAAGGGTGGAGGGACCATGCGGAAAGGGAGGAAGGGAAAAAAGAACGGGCAGAGGCAGATATGAGTGCCAAAGGCAATAAAAGCAGAGGACACAGGCAGGGCACGGGCTGAGGACAGTGAGGAGGGTAATGGAGACAGGGCCAGTTAGGAAACCAAATCTGAACTGCACAGGACCTCGATCTGCACCGGCATGGATGGTCTTGAAGCTTGCAGAGCCACACAGGCCATGAGGCAAAGGTGCTGGACAGAATTTTGAGCCCTGGGAGGCACTGGCAGTAGATGCAAGAACAAGCTAGTGTGCTCTGCAAATAGCAGCCATGCTGTCTGAACAGGGAAAAGGAGATGCTGGAAGAATAAATGCATAAGGAGTTCCTGCTCCATATCCTACAAATGGGACCATGCCATGCATCTGCCAGAATTCAAGAAGACGGCATTAAGGCAGCTCATCACTAAAACCACTCCCAGAAGATCTTTCTAAAGGCATGGTGTGGAAAGGGCAGAGACAGGGTGGACATGCAGCAGTTAAAAGGCATATATTCAAAACTGGGGCTGGCAGGGGGATGTCCTGCAGTGGACAATCTTCCCATATCATCAAGTGAACAGGCAAAGCTTTCCAATGAGTAATTCTGCATTAGCAATGCACAAATACACAACATGTCCCAACCTATTTTGCTAACAAGCACATGTTCTCGCATTAATCTCTGTCCTACTTGCTTTACCCATGGTTCCTCTGCATATGTTGCATGGTTACTTTTGCATGACAGGTGGAGGCAAACAGTAGCAAAACCAGCATGTGGTATTTCAACAATGATTTGTTTAGCTGCAAAGCTTCCTCATACAGTAAAACATTTGCTTAATTTATTAAATCATTGCAGAATTATTGTAAGATTATAGCAGCACCTTTCTGATATTCTTTGTCTAAAAATTGCAATGGGCAGCCGAGAATGTAGCACTGCCTCCGAAACTACTCGGCCAGCCTGGTACTACTGATAACTGCATTTTTCTCCATCCCTCTGGCCTTCAAATGAGAAGTATTTGCCTTCAGATGGTATCTATTTAAATATTTGCATACCTGGTCCAGCCATGCACCCAAGGACTTTTAGACCATTGATAGCTGTAGCTGAATGCCTCTGCAGGACCTTGACAGCATTTCCAACTCCTGTTTTGCAAGGGGAAATGGAAATGCAGCAAGTGGAATACCACTGCATTTCCATTTCCATTTCTATTTCCAGCATGGAATAACTTGGGGTTCTTTGCTAGTAAAAAATCTGTAGCAGCAAGTGGGCAAACTCCCACAATCAACACTCCCAGCTCAGAGATAATGGTTGGTAAGAGTGCAGGGTGAGTTCCCAACAAGAAAAAAGTTTTGGCAGATTCTTATGCAGCCCCACATCTGGAAAATGCAGGCTTGCAGTGCAGATGCAGCCATGACTGGCACAAGGAAGTTTCAGTGCATATACCTGGGTTATGCTTGTGGAATGAGAGTGGAAGGGAAATAAAAATGACTCAGGATGACAATTTTGTACAATCCTTACAATGGCCTTTGGCTCCCATGCAAATTAGGAAGCACACAGCCAGCTGTGGTCTTCTTCCTCATACCAGCAAACTCTCCTTAGAGCAGGTTGTGTGTTAGGAACCCTTTGTGAAGAGCAGGACAGAAAAAGGAATGAGTATCCCTGTGCAACCTGGGGCCATAGCATTCTCCAACAGCCTGAGCTGGGCTAGGTGCCAGCAGCACAGAATTCCCCTGGCCAGCTCTTGGCAGAGCTCCATCGTCCTGTGTAAGCAGCTTTGCTGCTCCCTGTTTCCATCCAGGGGTACAGCACAAACAGGGCACAGTCGCCTTTTACACAACTCATCCTTTACACAGACACACAACAGGCTGAAAGTCTGCTGCTGAAAGTAGTCCAGTACTGTGATGCACTGCCAGCAGGTAATGAGGTGGAGCAGAGGATTTGGGCAAAGTGATTCTGTCCGCCCGAATGCTGGAGAAAAGCTTGAAGAATAACTGAAGCAGTTAAAGCCACATCCTTCACTGCTATGAACTGTAGGTCCTGCAGTGGGGATGGGGGGGGGGCCTCACCTGAATTTCAGGGGTGCAAGGCAGCAGCACACATTCCCAGGATGTGTTTCCTCTTCCCATGGAAATCCCCTTTGGAAATTCCAAAGGTGTCAGAGTTCAAAGTGAAGCTGGGCCAGGTGATAAACAAGAAGTGAACAGACACAGGGCTGTGCTGCAAACCTCCAGCTTCCCCTGGCAAGAGCTGCAAAGTATTTGAGCTGGAACAAAAGGGGCCATGAGGGCAGGTGCTGCCAAAAGCAGCCCAAAACCCCCTCTCTGGTGGGCTGGCAGCCTAGAGCTGGAAGAGAGGGGGAATCCCAGCCCCATGATCCGCCTGCTACAGCGTGTGCAGGAAACAACACCTACGTCTGCTTCCAAAATTAGCTGCAGCAGAAGGGCTGAGAGCTGCAAGCTGCTTAGATGGCTTACCACTGCTGAGGTGAATCACCTAAAATCCCTGAGAATGTTACCCCAATGGGCTGCTAGGTGTTAAAACGTTTCTTAAAAAGCAAACCAGGTAGATTCCCACTATCTCAGGGAGGTGGGCAATGAACTGTTTTACAGACTACATACAGTAATCAGACTTTTTTTAATAAATACATATCTCACATGTACCAAAATAATTATAAACAAAAAATGTACAGTATTTACACAATATACAGTTGCTAAAAAGTGTAGCAATTATGACACACACAGTGTGAAACACACTTTTCCAATGCCCACAGTTAACATTATTTCTACTTTGCCTAAGAGCCAAGATAGCACCAGTCCCTTCTTCTGACTCCTCTAACCTGGGAAGCCTCACTGAGAGCAGCTGAGGTCAGTCAGAAAGGACAGGGACTGCTACCAGCCCAGAACAAATGAATGTAGAGTCTTTGTAAAGCAGTGTTGGCATGAGTCCACCTTGCCATGAAAGGTCACTTGTTCCCTGTAGTACTTGAAGCCACAAGAAAGCTCCCTGTAACGAGCAGGTTGGATGTGTAGTCTGTTACCTTTGCACGGCAGAGAAGATTGGCTATGTGGCTCTTCATCAGGTGGTGTGAATAATCACAGATCTGTACTGATGTTACACATCCCACTCCTGTATTTAAACACGAGGGAGATCCTGGAACTGTCCTGTCACAATAATGTGCTCCTTCTCCTTACTGGGCAGTGTAGTATTTCCCTCCTCTTTTTTCTCTCCACATTGTGACTTTCTTTTTAGGTGAAGAAAGTCAGTCCTTTTTCTATACATATGTATACAGTCACTTCTTTTCAGAAAGCTCTGCTTTAAAATGCCAGCTGTCGTCCTCCAATAAGGCAGTCATCATATATAAGCTGCAAGAAAAAAAACCCCAAAATGCTGTTAATGCAGAAATCTTACTTAAAGTATCATATTCACTCTGGATAACAGCCAAATTCTACATACAAATTCTTCAGCAGTGTATAAAATTTCTACACCAAAATGGTTACATACACCATTTAATGCAGCACTTGGAATGTCAGAAAAACAAATCCTAGGGAGGAGAAAACCACCCACTAACTTGAATTTTCTCTCATGAGATTCTGTGTCAGCAACAGAACTGTGTTCAGAGAACCATGTCGTTTGAAGTTAACCTCCATTCCCTCATGTTATTTTTTACATTTTATTCTTACTCTGTTTATATGCTTGCCTCATCTGCCATTTTGCTGATTGCATAATCTTTGGTACACCTATCTGTTACACAGCAAGAGGTCACTGGGGCATGCTATCAGAGTGACACCAAAAAATACCCTGCACAGAACAGGATTTTCCCCTTTCTCTCATAAAAATGAAAGCAGCTACTTACTTCATCCTCTGTGAACTCAGGCTCTGATTCACTGCTCTCTTCATCCTCACTTTCTGGCAACATCTGCAGGTCAGCTGTGGTCAGCTGCTTCAGCTGTTCCTGTATGCTTGAGTTGTCTCTTCCCCATGTGAGTTGATAGGGGGAATAGCCCTGATAGGTCACTTTGTTCACGTCTGCCCCATGTTTCACCAGAAGTGACACCAGTTCTGAATTCTGCAGATCAACTGCCAAATGTAGTGCTGTTCTGCCATTGCATGGCTCCTGTGTGAAAACAGCAAAAGGTTTGGCATGTCAGGAGAGGCAGAGCCACTGTCAGATCTGTTGATTCTAATCTACTGATTCTTAAGAGCCCTACTTGGGTAAATTGATGGTACACATTACATACCTGTGCGTTTACATCTGCTCCCAAGGACAGCAGATACTCCACAATAGCCAGGTATCCCTGGATAGATGCTAAATGAAGACACGTATGTCCTGGAAGACACAAACAAAGGGAAAACTTGAGTAAGTCTAATTCAATGCCTCATCATTACTTAAAAGTCAAGATGATAGGCCAGGATGGTATCTAAATTTGCAATTCATTCATGGCAAAAGGGTGTTTTCCAGAAGAGCTTTCCAACTTCCAGTATAAATAAAAGGGCTGGATTTTTGAAAAGATTTCTTGAAGGCTTTATTCCAGTGTTTGAGTGCAACTTATTACAAACAAAAAAAGGAGCACGGCAAAGGCACTCACTAAAAACGCAAAGTTCAAAGCCATGAGAGACTATAATCAACAGTGAGAAGGCCTACAAGACAGTGCATTTCAAAAAAATCAGACACTGCTGTATGCTCTGGGCTCCTCAGCTCTCAAATGTGACAAAATAATCCTTCTCCAGAGATCTTTGAGATCCACAGGAGACCGACCCTGCCCTGAGCCAGCCCACCAAGAGGAAGCGTTCAGGATGAGGAGTGTGTCCGTACCGTTGTAGTTGGCTGCCTGCAGGACAGCCAGGAGGTGCTGGGGCTGGCAGTACTGCGTGAGCACGCCGACGCTTGGGAGGGAGCCCTGCTGGCAGGCGATGTGCAGGGGGGTGTTTCCTCGGAAATCCCTGATTTCCAGGTCGCATCCAGCCTTCAGAAGATGCTCAGCAATTTCAGGCTGATCAGTTATCACTGCCAGGTGAAGAGGAGTCTGCAAGCACAAGAGCAAAAGCACTGTAAGTTACACCACAAACTTGGCACCAGCATCTAGGCAAGCAGACCTCTTGTTCACTTGGTGATTTCTGCCAACAAATAAAAGCATGAAAGCACACCCCATAAACTCAGCTCTTTATGCTTCCCAATGTTGTATAGCTGCCCATTCATCTGGAAGTGATGAACTTTGGGCTCTCTGGACAAACCAACCGCCAGCTGGTATGAAGGGTATCATTAACATCTCCATAAAGAGGGATGCAACCCATGGCATCATATTTGAAAAATGTGGGTGTTAAATGCCACTCTCTCAGGGAAGAGGAAGCACTGTACCAACCCCGGCTGGAGCCAGCTGGGGACTTTCCTGAATGTAGGCTTTGATTCAATTGATTCCATCAATTAAAACAAAAAAAATTAAAGGGACTTTTTGGGGGGAATTCCCCAGAGGGAGTGTGTGGGTGTGGCAGGGGCTGATCCAGATTTGGGGCTATCGAGGTGAAAGTACCTGGCTGAGGTTGTTCTGGAAGTTCAGGAAAGCCCGGTCACCGGCTGCCTGCTGGATCACCTCTAGGCTCAGGGCTTTTTCCTCGTGAATAATGGCCAAGTGGAGAAAACTGCAGGGGGGGAAAAAGGAGTAATGAAGCAACACGCGTTAACCCCCCCGACGCCACGCTGAGCCCGGCGGGCCGGGCCGGGCCGGGTCACGCGCGGGTGTCGCAAGCCGGGGCTTTCGGCGCGGCCGGGGCTTTCCGCGGCCGCGGGAGCCGCCTCTCCCTGGCGCCGCTCCAGGGACTTTCCGCACCCCCTCCCTTCCCTCCCGGCGCGGCCCAGCGCGGCGCCGCCCCGCCGGCAAGCACATCCTGTCCCGGACTGGCCGTGCCGAGCTCCCCGCCGTGCCCGAGCCACCCACCCCTGCCCCGGCTCCGACCCCTACTTACGTGTCCCCGTCCTCCGTCAGCTGCTGTGCCCAGGCGGGCGGCTCGCGGGGCTGCAGCCGTATGTCCTCCAGCTCCTTCACCAGCTGCCGGTACTCCTCCTCCTTCATGGAGTCCAGGCCGCTGTCGTGGCGGTCATCGAGAGCGAAGACGCCCTGGCGCTCCTTCTTGGGGTGCTCGTAGTCGTCCATGGCGGGCGGCTCGGCGGCGCGGCGGGCGGCGATCATGGCGGCGGAGCTGCAGGCGCTGCGAGTGAGCGGCGGCGGCGGAGGCGCCTCGCATATACAGAGCGGCCGGGGGATTTCTGCGGGGGAGGAGCCGCGGAGGACGGGAATTTCCAGCCAGTCAAAGCCCGACCGACGCGTCCGGTCCTGCTCGGCGCCGCCGGCGCTGGCAGGGAGGGCGGAGCGGCTCGGGCCGCCCAGAAGGGGCGTCGGAGGGGAGGGAAGAGGCCGGGCCGAGAGGGAACTTGGCGTTTTTCCAGGGGGGAAGTACTCGCCTCTCCGGCGTCCCCGGCGGTACTTCCCTGCCGCGCCCCGCGGGGATTTCCCTGCCCTACCCTGCCCGGTCCTGGGGCTCCCGTGCCTCCTCCCCGGCGGGTCCCGCTGTGGGTCCCTGGAAGGCCGAGGAGCGCCTCAGTGCCGGGCACTGCTGGCCCTGAGTGCATCCCCCCGACATTCCATCACTTTCGTAAGAGGGGCTGCGGGATCACAGAATAATTTAGGTTGGAAGGGTTCTATGAAAAAGGCTTTTTTCTATCTTGCAGCTGTTTCTGGCCTCATTGAGTGTCTGTGGTTTTTTTTTTTTTCTATTTTGTCATTTTCCCATGGGATGGCATTCCTTTGAACAAAAACTTAAGAGAAAATAAAGACTCATCTAGACCAACCCTCCCTGCCATGAGCAGGAACATCTTCAGCTGGATAAGACCCCCATCCAACCTGACCTTTAATTTTTCCAGGGATGGGCATCCACCACCTTTCTGGGAACCTCTGGATTGCCCAGAGAGTTCACCACCCTCATTGTAAAAAAATCTTCCTTACATCTAATCTAAATTGACCTTCCTTGTGTTTTAACCCTTGCCCTTTGTCCTATGGCAGCAGGCTGGGCTACAAAGCCTGTCCCCATGTATTTTAATAGGCTGCCCTCAAGCTCTGCAAGGCTGCAGTATGGTCCCCCAGGAGTGGCCAGACTGTGAGCATGAACGCTCTTAGGAGCTCCATCAGCCAGTGCAGCACGGCTCCTTGTTCCTGCACAGTCTGCACAACGACAGAGCCCTGAGCATCCCTTTGAAGTCTGATGAGAGGGACCACCTTAGGAATCCTTAACCAGCGCTTATCTAACGATTAGGAACAGGCTTTTTAGCAAGCCCAGGGCAGCAAAGTCACAGTAAAATGTCAGGGAGTCAAACACCACCAGAGCAATGCTGAGGCTGGATCAGTACACTGCATTTGCCCTGCTTGAGGAGTGTCACTTCTTGGAGACACCCAGGCAGGATTGCACATGATGGATGTTACGCTGCCATGCCTGCAAGTGTGCCAGTGTTGCCTCAGCATTTAGAGGATTTTTCATCTCTGCTGTGTAAGTTTTCACTCCATAACAGAACAAATCTTTTAAAGAAGAAATTACATCTTCAGCCACTATTCTTACTTTCTCTGGCCATTCCTAGTGACTCTTTGCCTTTTTTTTTTTTTTTTTTTTACTGCTGTCATGCCATCTGTGGGTACTAAAAACTGGATAAATGCAGGATCCCACATGGACAAAAGGCATTGTTTGTCTGCAGAGCTGACAGCACTGAATTTTTTCCTGGTGAATTTTTGCTTCTGCTTCTCAGATGTAGGGGATTCCCATGACGAATTTTTCTTCTCTTGCAACTATTGCTGGCCTCACTGAGTAACAGTGTCTGTACTTTTTTTCCTTTTGTCATTTTCCCATGGGATGGCATCCCTTTGAACAAGAACTTATGGGAAAATACAAAGATAAAAGGAAGAGCCAGAGGAGAGGAAGAACGCCTGGCTTTTTGTTAGCAAATGTTTTTAATTTTCAGCCCAGCTGTGCCATTCCTGGACTTTTTTTCAGTATTCATTACTTGGCCTGGGACAATCCAGTGGTGCTTTTGGGCAGGTTTAGAAAAAAGCCATAAAACTCTGTCTTTTTGAAGGTAAAGGTTATAAAAGTTCCGTGAGCTTTTTGAAACAGTTTCCCCTTTTTAATGTAAATTGGCAGGGGAAATTTAATTAACAAATGAATCTCCTCCTATCTGCAGCTCTTCAAAAAAAGGAAGATGGGAGTTGAAAAGCAAGCTCCTGCTCTGACTAGCAGGGGAATTGAGCCCAGCAAGGACCTTGCTTTCTGCAGTTGGGATTTTGCTAGAACCATGCAGACATTAAACTTGAAAACTCCTGTCCTAGCTGTGATGGCTGTAAACTGACTTCAGCAAAGGGAATTCTTTGCCTCCTTCTATGAGAGACCTCCAGCTGCCCTCACAGGTCATCACAGGACTATTTTTAGCAAGCATTTGCAAGCAGCCTCTTTTCAGAGGCACACGAGATGCTTTTATTTTGTGTGTTTTAACTTGGCAGTACTGCAGCCAGTGGTAGGTGGCAGAAAGGTGATGGAAAATGTTTTCTGGATGGAAAGTCATGCTGAGGCCAGCCCACTTCCTGCCCCAGGAGACGCTGCTGCTCTGCAGCCTGGCCCTAGGCATCATGAGGGGCCCACACATGGGCCACTAACCCTGGGTATAAGGGCACGAAAAGCATGGCTGAGAAGGGATTTAGCCCTAAACCCATATATAAAGCAGCAGCTGCAGATGCAGGGGCTAGTGGAGCCCTCATTAACAATTAAGCAAATAAGGCTGCTGTCCTTGCTGTAACTCCTCACAGTTAGCACAGTGGTGCAATATTTGCCTGAAGGGATGACACAAAAGATGATAGCATAAAGCAAAGGTCTTGGACTGGTGAAGGTCATCGGTGCTGCTTTGTGCTGTTGAAGTACTGTCCTATTTTTTTTTTATGTATTTATTTATTTAATTATCACTTTCAAGCAGTTTTTATATGCAATTTTATATATGGTCCACAAGAGAAAAAGAATAGAAAGAAACAAACTCAGCTTTTCGGATATAGGGTGGAGCCTGTCACAACCCTAATTTCCTTGGCCTCTCAGCCAAGTGCTGCAGTTCTGGGAAGCTCAGACAGGCCCCCAGGGGATGGAGCAGCTGTACCTATCCAGGGATAGGGGCTGGCCCTGCTGAAACAGGAGCACGACTTCATCCACACTGCAGTCATCTGTGCCAACCTGAACCTTCTTTGTCTGCTTGTGTATTCTGGTTTAATACCTCTGCTATGTCTGCATTGATTTCACAGAAGTGTTTTCTGTGCTCATCGTTTTGAGAGGAGATTAACATTCTCTGCATTTCTAATTTGGGATTATGTTAGCAGTCTCTGCTGCCTGGTCCAGCAGGCACTTCAGGGCCAAAGGACTACCTAAAAGTTACTTTACCAATGTAAAAACTGTAACCACGGGAGGTGGTTTTGCACCTGATACCTAAGAGCTAGGTTTTGCAAAAGCCTCCTCCACTTTAGGCACCCTGAGCACTCAGTTGGCAAGGCTGTGGTGCTGTAGGGATGTGATGTTTGTTTTTATTCTGCCTTGCAGAAAGCAACTGGCAGGGCTCCTAGAAGCAGCCTCAAGTGTCTGAATGGTGAAAAGGATCAGTAGGATTTTAATCAGTTTTAAAAGTAGGTAAAGAATTCTTGTGCTGCTTCCTCCAGCAAACACGTTAAATTATAATTTCCTGATTGCCACTCTAATCATGACAACTGTCTAGTGCTGTTGATTTACCAGAGTTGGTGCCACAACTTCATTCTTTTGTGACTGCTGCTGCAGATCCTCAGTAACTGTTTCCTCTCATTTAATTGTGAAGACCGTACCTGGCTCCTGGGAAATATATCAGTTAACAACATCCAGCAAGATCTTGGCCCAGGATGTTAAAGCCAAAAGCAAAACAAATCAGTGAAGTAGACCTGCTGTCTGTACATGTATGTGTACATGCAGATATCCCTTGGAATAGGACTCTGGTTTGTTGCTTCAAAAGTCTATGGACTTAGCTGCTGCAAGGGAAGCCAGGGGACATTTGACATTGTCATTTTGATAATATTTTGCAGTTAAAATCCACATATCTCAGCTTCCCATTTACAGCTGCTACAGAGATAAGAACCAGGCAGCTCCAAACAGTTAGTCCAGTGGTAAACAAGGAAAACGTATTTCCCTCCTGCTTTCTAATAATAATATAAGTAACTAATTTGAAAGCTTAAAAAAACCAGCCAAAGATAAGAGAAAGGAAAGTTATGCAAAGTCCATTTTTGTCAGCCAGGATGAAGGCCAAAGATAGTCACATGTGCCATGTGGCCTGTATTCCTACCTCCTCAAACCTTTTCATCAGAGGTTATTTTGGGTTGGTCATATACTCCAAAGAGCAGAACGGTGGATGCAGTAGCAAGCATTTCTGCACCTTATTTAAGCTACTATCATATCCAAGCAAATAGTCTGCAGGGTAATTTTTGGCACATAAAGCCAAGCTCCAAATTAGGGCATTTAAAGTCCTACCCATGTGCCACGGACACAAAAATATAATTAGCTGCAATGTCCTGACCAGAGTCTAATGGATCTAGAGCTCTGGTTGGCTACACTAGTCTGCTTTTATTTTTTGACTGCAGCTTATTTTTGGCAAGTCTTAAACTGATGCATTGCATCCCTGGGAAGGTCTGTGTTTCTCTGCATGAACTGTGGGCTGTTTATCAATTGGTTGCATTTCTGGGGATCCTTAGGGATGAGATGTACTATATAAATTTAAACTGCTTTTATTGTTATGCCTTAAGGGTAAATATAAGTCAAGTAATTTGAAATTTGCTACCACTTGGAAGACAAGTTTTCTCTGGTGTCATTCCCATTTTTCATGTGGAAGCTTTGTTAAAGCATGTTGCTCAAAAAGCTTTAAGCTGATGCTCACTGCCTGATGCAGCAAAGCCTGCTGCCACACTTGTTTCATGTAGGAAAAAAGAATCTTGGGGAGGGAGAAGGCAGGTCTCTTGAGCTTGTTTTACTACTTTCCCTCCAGCAATAACGTTGTTCCCCACCAGTACAGCCCCTGTGTGATTGCAGACAGAGTGGAAGCACCTAATGGGGAAAATATGAACTGGGAGCATGCTAATAATTAAAAAGGGACTTTCCCCCTGCAGACAGCTGTGACATTTGGTAATGTTGCAGTCT